AAGAAGTGACACAGCAGCCTCTTCTGAAACTGAAGTCAATCAAGTTCCAAGATTTAGTTGGCAGGAACTGCTCAATTAGCAAGTAGCAATCAGCTGTTTTTTCCAAAGTCCCAAGAACGTAGCCTCCATAGCATAGGTGCTGGAACCAGGGCCATCGCTTCCACTAGGTGACCCTAGGTGGTCGCCTAGGGCTGCAGGATTTGGGGGGCAGTATTTTGCCGTCCTCTGTGGCAATTCGGCAGCAGGTCCTTCACTCGCTCCAGGACCCGCCACTGAAACGCCCCGAAGACGCGGAGCGGAAGGACCCCTGCCGCCGAATGCTCTGAGGAGGAGTGCTGCCGCCTTGGGCGGCAAAAACCCTGGCACCGCTCCTGGCTGGAACTACCCCCTGGCTTGAAGTGGTTTCTATCATATTCAGGGTTTACAGTTTGGTTCAATAGTTGTCAAATTGTTCCAGCACCCCTGCTCCACAGAAGTGGCTCTCATTTCCAGGCCCAAGGAATGAGAGCTGCAGCTAATGCTAAGCATTCTTGGAAAGGTATGTAAGTGCACTGCTTCAGATTTAAAATGTAGGAAACATTCTGGTTTACATTTTGGTAGGTGCCTATATATTTCCCACTGGAGTGGCTAGGAAGTCTACAATATATACAAAGAGTGACTTCCAGTTAAGATAAACTCAGCACAGTACCCAAGACTTTGCCAGGGGGAATCTCCCCCTTAGCTCAGGCTCACCTGGCAGAGTTGTCGCTTGTTAACCATGGGGAACTTGGTTTGATTGTATGCTGTAGAAACATGCAGGATGTACAAATTGCAAATCTAGCCAGAGGTGGGGAACTCTGTGGGCTAGGTATGCATTAGTGTCTGGCTGTCCCCTGAGATACACAATTTGATCCCCATGCTCACAGGCACCCCAAAAACTCCATGCTACTGGCGTACAAATGAAACGTGTATATAAGGGACTGCTCACATAAGTTATCCTCCAGTCTCTTTTTGCTGTTCCCCAAAAGGCCATGGTGCTAAGAACCCATCCATATCTGCTAGAGGCTGGGCTTTTGTAACACCCTAGATCTGAACAGCCTAAAACTCCGAGGGAATTTGCCTCTGCATCCACACTTTTTTGGCTGGCCATTCTTTATAAAAGGCCAAACTGAAAATTCTCAGCTTTCAGAAAAGATCAGGTCCAGATTCAAACTTCGCTGCTTCACTGGCGTTGAGGCAGGGTCCTTAGGATAGTGGGAGGTAGAAGACCAGGGATCTGAATTTGGGAACATAAGAGTGTGTTCCAAGGTCCCATGGCAATTTTCACCCAAAGTCTGTTAGCCTCATTGCTGTGCAAACTAGGAGGTACATTGGGATACAAGAAAATGCCAAGAAGACACCCTTCCATCATGGTCAAGAACAGAATCAAGTGGAATAGGTTTCTCTGGGGTGTGGGGGACAGAAGTTTGGCAAGAAAAGCACTGTTGGGGAATCTGAAATTTTGGGGACTTGATTTTTTAAAACCAGGGTTTAGTTTTAAATTAAAGGGTAGAAGCCAGAAATACAAAACATTCTCTACAGATTTGTGACTGAGTCTCACAAGGTTTTATTTATTGAATTCCCATCAGAATGTGTCTTCTAAGGTTTTGAAATGTCTGTCTTTTCCATTGTGTGTCAGTAAAGAGAATTGGAGGGAGACGTACACCAGCAGCTCCTGTAGTGAATCCACTGCAAAGCCCCACAGCCTTTCAGGTAGAAATTTTTGTTTTTCCACACACTCATCACAATCACTGAAGTTATCTTTTTCATACATTTAAAAGGAGCTTTACAGTGAACCATGATTCCAGCCTTTTTGTGCCCCACCTTTTGATCCAAAATTGCAGCTTCAATATTTGCGGACACATGGCCTGATAATGCAAATCCTTCCTCACTGTGATCTCATGTTTCTGTCACATCCGGGTTACAATACTGCAACTCACTCCACCTGGGCATGAGCACAGTTGCACCTGGGAGAGGCAGCTAATGCTATATGCAGCAGCCTAGGGCATGGCTTGAGCAACACAGACTGATGTCAACATATTTCACCAGCACTCCCAGAAATTCCACTGGCTCCCCATTCACTCCTGGACTGAATTCTTGATTCTAATACAAGAAGGCATTTAAAGGGTTAGGACCTAGCTACCACAGAGTCTGCCTCGTCATCAGCCACAGCCCACTGAGACAGCTGCGCCCGACGGAGATAACACATCTGGAAAGGGCCAGGACAAAGCAGCACAGGGAAAAAGTGATCTCAGTTACAGGCTCAGATTATGGAACTTCCACTATAGTTGATCACCACGGCCCAAATCTCTCAATATTCAAACTGAAGTGCACACCCACCTGCCAAATAACCTCACCCACTGTCCGAGCGATCTTCCTCCAGGAAGAGCTAACAAACTGAAGCCAGGGGATGACAAAGAGAGGAAAACATGTGATAGGGGCCTTAGAAATAGCTACAATGAAATAGATTGATGGATAGAACTCAGTGGACTACTTGCATAAATAAGAGTTTCCAGGACTGGGCCCATAAGCTTTCGGGGCAGATTTTCTGTCCTGGGTCACGCCCCTTTACCTGAGTGGCATACAGTACCAGGATTTGGCCACAGCTGCCAGTATGAGAATTTGTCTGCTAATGGGACTTCTCCAATGGCATAAAGCCACCAGAGCCCACTCCTATGCCAACTGCCCCACAAAAGCAGTGCTGAGGTGTATGGGAGGGGGACATTTTTGAATGCTTTGTACTGCCAATCCGTGGATGATGTGTATTCTCCTATGGACTATAGCCAGCCCATAGGCTGCTGTAACTCATGTCAAGATTGGAGCAGTTTGATGCTTAATTGGCTACATGTAGAACCACCCCACCATCTAGTTCTGAGCAGATTTCTGTGCAGGGGAGCCCCTCAATGTTTTGTTTTATTGATGTACTTAACTTCTGTTATTCCAGTTACTCTTACCAAAATATATATTTATCATGACAATTTGTGTTCCACTTAACACACGGTACACACATAAAACACCCTCTACTGCTACTGCTGAATCAAGTGTGCAGTTTAGGCGGGACTAACAGAAAGCACACAGTCCGCCCCTCTCATTTTCATGCTTTCTTCCACGATTGTACTCCCCCCAGCCCCGTGTGAGCAAAGGGGTATCATTCTGTCTATTCAGAGTCCTTCTTCAGCTCACTTCTTCCAAGAAACCTACCAGTTTTAAGTGACCTAAGTAAGAAATGCTGCCATTTACCCATCATAAATAATAATGTTACAAAAACCAGCCTTGCACTGATATAAGGCAGAATCTTCCTCTGATATTTTTTTGTATAATTTTTGTCTGTTTAGATTATACACTCCTTGCGGCAGGGAGAATGTCAAAACATTGCTGGTATACTGGATGCCAAGTAACACTTTTCTGCTGGACGCTGCTGGATGTTTTTCATTGATCTGCCTTGCAAAATTCCATTCAGATGCTCACCTTGAGCAAGAAATACTTTTTTGACAGGTGAGCAAAATGTCGTTAGTTTCTTCGTTCCCATCACCATCACGGGAAAGGTGGGTGTGAAGTAGCTTGCATGCTAGTAGATGTTTGTGAAAAATCTGGAAGGCTGCAGTAACACTATAATGAAAGCTGGATATGCAACCATCTAAAAGTTTTAGCCGTTTCAAAGGCAGTGACTTGAATACCTTTGTGCTGGATTTGAATTAGGGTCTGAGGATATGCACATGTCAGCTATTCTCCCTCTACCAAGGGAGACCAGCCAGCAAACTAAATTTGGAAGATTCACTCTAATTGTATAGAACACAGTTTAGTTATACCAGCTGTAGACTAGGGCCTGCAAGAACAGACAGTCCAAATGCAACAACTGGAGTCACTGGAGATAAATATGCATTTTGGGTTTTTTGTTTTCTTTTTTTAAAAGCCAGCAGTGTGTATTATTCATAGTTTGTCATTTGCAGTGGAGGAAACAGGATGCCCTCTGACACCTCTGAAGAAGTTCATGATTTATTGGAAGCATCGAAAGAAATATAAAGCCAAATAGTAATATAGTCCCCCAGGAAAGGCTTGCTTCAGTCTTTTACATAGTATTAGAGCCACTGTAAATAGTTGGACTCAGATAAAAACCCTGGCAAACATTCAACACGGAATGCTTGAGATATGAATTTATTCATTCTTTGATGTCAGGAGAGTTCAGTTTTGTCCAGCATCTAAGTACAAAAACCCCCACAATGTTTATTTAAAATAACTCAAGCTCACATAAGACCACGATACAGAGGTGAGACTGCCTCTCAAGCCTCATTTTGCTGCATGGGTTTCAGGGCAATGAATGCTGTTAGATATTCTGTGGGCTACAATCACTTGTGACTGGTCTTTGTGTAGTTAAACTACAGTGATTTCCCAGTGTTCTCAATGGGTATTGTATAAGACTAGATAGCTAACTTGATAGAATGTGACTATAATCGAGGGAAGTGACTATTCCCCTCTATTCGGCACTGGTGAGGAATCTGCAGTACTGTGTCCAGTTTTGGGCCCCCCACTACAGAACGGATGTGGACAAATTGGAGAGAGTCCAGCAGAAGGCAATGAAAATGATCAGGGGGCTGGGGCACATGACTTACGAGGAGAGGCTGAGGGAACTGGGCTTGTTTAGTTTGCAGAAGAGAAGAGTGAGGGAGGATTTGATAACAGCCTTCAACTACCTGAAGGGGGGTACTAAGAGGATGGAGCTCGGCTGTTCTCAGTGGTGGCAGATGACAACACAAGGAGCAGTGGTCTCAAGTTTCAGTGTGGGAGGTCTAGGTTGGATATTAGGAAACACTATTTCACTGGGAGGGTGTTGAAGTATTGGAATGGGTTTCCTAGGGAGGTGGTGAAATCTCCATCCTTAGAGATTTTTAAGGCCCGGCTTGACAAAACCATTGCTGGGATGATTTAGTTGGTGTTGGTCCTGCTTTGAGCATGGGATTGGACTAGATGACCTGCTGAGGTCTCTTCCAACCCTAATCTTCTATGATTCTATGATTTATCATTTAGTTTCAATACCCAGTGTCAATAGAATCATCTGTGATCAAGTGGATGAATGGAACTAAACGTTTGTGTGGTGTGGCATAAACCCCACACTGGGCAACAAGAGGTTAAAGAGCTGCTCTAGGCTCAGTCAGCCCTGCCCTGCCACACATGCACAGCCTGGAGAAGGCAATAAAAGGGAAGCAGAACAGTGACGAGGACAGACCTTCAACCCACAGCTCCAGAGGTAAGTCAGGATCTTTCCCAACAACTGCCTGAAGATCCCTCCCTGGTGGCAGGGAGGATGTGATTCTGGTCCCTGAGAGGGAGGCTTCCCCCCAAAAAACTAACTCAGTTGGTTAGTGTTAATTCCCCTTGTTTTTGTTTGTGATCTACCCCATAAGGGAAGAAACTTGGAAGTAACCTGACTGGATGCCAATTCACAGGAAGAGGCAGGCCACCACAGAGGCAGAGCACCTGGCAGCTGCAGCCCCTAGCAGACACACAACTGCCATGCCAGGCCTGGCCCAGAGGCATAAGTGGTGAGCTGACCCCTTCACATCTTGATATAATACCAAGTAATTCTTGAATATATGCAGTCGCCATTATGGACGTTTTGTTAGTATCTGTGATGTCAGATTTAGACTCATACGCCTAATCACATACAGACCTGAAATGTTCATCAGTGCAACCTTCCCAGGCTGCAATTAATGAGCACCCATTGAAAGATTCTTGTTTTAATGAATGACACTCCTACATCCATTCTTGCCCATACTCGTTCTTACACAACCAGGCATTTATACTCATACATTTATTCCTGACGTTGCCCTGCAGGTGAGCCAGCTTGTTTTATAGTCAGCACTTGTATGTCATTGCAGAATGGATGGAAGCAAAAAAGGCTGAAGCTGAAGACCAAACAAGTGACGAGATTTGCTTGTCGTGGAGTCCCACCACAAGATAGAGCCTGTCACTAATGTATATGTTTGGCGGACACAGTCACTTTCATGAGGCTAGAGGGTTGGTTTATGGTTGTTCTTTATGTAAGTTATCCAAGGATCATCTTCATATTTTGTCTTTTAGCCAATGTGTTTCACTAAATCATCACAAAGTGACTCTGCCAAGGAAATAATCAGCCGTACATGAACTAAGGCAGCCGTCCAGACTTCACGCAGATTTAGCAGGGGAAGTTGGTGAGCTACCAGTATGAATATTAGTTAGTTTAATGATTCATGTGTCGTCAAAGTTCACATTGCAAATCACATGGAAATATCACTGTAAGCAATATTTTAAGACAAGGGAACAAGAACCACATGTTAGTGTTACCAAGCCCAATGCAGTTTAAAAAGGCTGTGTTAAACAGAGCTGTGTAAAACTCAGCCATTATGATTTGAAGTGGAGACACTCCCACTGTAGTTCACATGCAGGCAGACTTTTAGAAGTGCTCACTTATTTTGTGTGCTGGGAGGGGATCAGTTGGGCCATTAATGATATTGGATCTTAAAATCATATAATTTGTATCACTTTCTAGCTTTCTTTGTCTACGTCTGTTCTGACATAATTTTGGGGCCAATCTCAAGAACCACTGGAGATAGAGATTTATGCTATATGCCATTTGAACACAAGGGGTCCAAGTTCTGAGGTGGCATATGGCACTGAATTCATGCTCTAATGGTTTGGAAGGCAGAGAACATTGAAATCACTGGCCATTTAGAGAGTTGAAACTCCGCTTGGAAACAGTGCTCAAAGCTTAGAGCTGACACAGCTGAAGATTCACGAATGCCTAGTGAGCTTTCCCTAATCATGCTTGGAGGCAGAAACATCTGTTTTTCAGGATCTGTACAGCTGACTGATCCATACATTTGATGGAACAGTTCCCTTTCTTCTGTGGCCATTTAAATCCCGGAGACCCTTCACACATACCTCCACCACTGGACTTCCTTTCCTGAGAGTATACCATAATGGTTTGGCTGATTTCTTCTAATCTCATTTTCACTGGTGATTTTTGAAATACATATGTCTACTCTGAGAGGACTGAGATGACATTCATCTGCATTCCTTTGCCCATTGTATTTAGACTATCTCTTTCATGATACATATAAATGTATATTCCCCATTATGATGATATCTTATTAGTCAAGATATCTTCATTATGTACTGCTGTCAGCTAGGCAAGTCTTTATCTTCATGTTAAATGAATTAATGTTCCTGAATAACCTACAGCTTCCTTTTTCTTGACCAACTGGTTGTTCTACAGATGATTTGAAAGAATAGGAAATTTGTGTGCAACTGCCCACAAATTCCACTCATCCTAGGCTCTCAGAGTGCTATCTGCCCTTTCTGTACATTTTCTTTCCTTGCATGTATAGAATAGATTTCTGGAACAGAAGTGCACTAGGCGTGCTCTGTGTACTATGTAACTAGATACATAGATGGAATGTAAAACCGGCATCAAAGCACTCCCTGATCTCATCGAAATAAACATTTACAGCTTTTCTGACCTTTTCGTGTGGATCATGTCTAGCCCTTCGTCAGGTTCAGTATGATTTAAAATTTAGAGCAACACTCCCTTTAGGCTGTTACATTAAAGTCCAGATGAGAGCAAATGTTCAAGCTCAATCTGAAATTTTCCACCAATTTCCAAATTCATAACCTGCAGGCAATCACAAGGAGGCTGGCTGCACATTCCTATTCACTGATCCCAAACAGGGACTCTTTGTACGGAATGGCAGGAAGATGATGTAATGTTTTCCCTTGCTGCATTTGAACTAAAGATTATTTACTAACATAGCAAATGTCTAGAGAACGTGTATTTGGTTCAGTTTTGTTTTTGTCTTCAGTTTGCAGGCTATTTTCTTATTTGCACTACTAACATGTTGGCAGCAACTAGGATAAAAAAAATTCTATTGCCTAGACTTTATACTTGATGTACAACATCAGAAATTCTGCTGCTGCTTTAGTCTTCACATTAGGGCCAAAGATTCGTATTCTGTTCTGAGCATGATGATGTGAACTGAATCTCTTAACTGGTTTGATACAAACAGAACTTTTGGAAACCTGATCTGATTTCGGTTGCAGAGATAGAACTTTCTGCACAATTTAAAATATGATGTGTGTGATTGGAGGTACATGCAAGTGCAAGCATGGGGAAGTGGGACTATAAGGAGCTGACTGGGCCTCTCTTTTCCCCTGCTGATTCTAGGCTGTCCTAGGGGCTGGTGAGGCCTCCAGAACAGTTTAAGTAGACCGGGCAGGCTGAGTTAGGGCAGCCCATCCTTTGCTGCCCAGAATCTTCACTGTGCTACATACCATGGCCCCACCCCCAGCATGTCTCTCCTGCCCCCAGCATGCCAATACACCATGCATAACTGGTTGGAAATCCATTCCCAGAGAGTAGTTATCAGTGATTCACGGTCAAGCTACAAGGATCAGTTCTGGTTCTGTTCAATATCTTCATCAATGATTTAGCTAATAGCATAGAAAGTACACTTATGAAGTTTGCAGATGATGCCAAGATGGGAGGGGTTGCAAGTGCTTTGGAGGATAGGATTAAAATTCAAAATGATCTGGACAAACTGGAAAAATGGTCTGAAGGAAATAGGATGAAATTCAATAAGGACAAATGCAAAGTGTTCCTTCCTAAATTGAGTAATCAGTTACACGCATACAAAATGGGAAATGACTGTCTAGGAAGGAGTACTGAGGAAAGGGATCTGGGGCTCATAGTGGATCACAAGTTAAATGTGAGTCAACAATATAATGCTGTTGCAAAAAAAAAGCAAACATCGTTCTGGGATATATTAGCAGGAGTGTTGTAAGCAAGACACAAGAAGTAATTCTTCTGCTCTACTCCACTTTGATTAGGCCTCAAATAGAGTCATGTGTCCAGTTCTGAGTGCCACATTTCAGGAAAGATGTGGACAAATTGGAGAAAGTCCAGAGAAGAGCCACCAAAATTATTAAAGGTCTAGAACAGTGGTTTTCAACCAGGGGTCCAGGGCCACTGGGGTAGGGGGGCGTGAGCAGGTTTCAGGGGGTCTGCCAAGCAGGGCCAGCATTAGACTTGCTAAGGCCCAGGGCAGAAAGCCAAAGCCCCACTGCACTGAGCTGAAGCCCAGGGCTGAAGTCGAAATCTGAGCAACGTAGCTTTGTGGGGTCCCTGTGGCACGAGGCCCCAGGCAATTGACCTGCTTGCTACCCCCAATGCCGGCCCTGGCTTTTATATGCAGAAAAACGGTTGTTGTGGCACAGGTGGGATGTGGAATTTTTATAGCATGTTTGGGGGATGGGGTCAGAAAGAAGAAGGTTGAGAACCTCTGATCTAGAAAACATGACCTTTGAGGGAAGATTGAAAAAAAAATATATTTTTTTTTTATTGTGGAGAAGAGAAGGTTGAGCGGGGACATACGTTTTCAAGTACATAAAAGGTTGTTACAAGGAGAAGGGAGAAAAAATGTTCTCTTTAACCTCTTAAGATAGGACAAGAAGCAATGGCATAAATTGCAACAAGGGCGGTTTAGGTTGGACATTAGGAAAATCTTCCTAACTGTTAGAGTAGTCAAGCACTGGAATAAATTGCCTAATGAGGTTGTGGAATCTCTGTCACTGGAGATTTTTAAGAGCAGGTTAGACAAATATCTGTCAGGGATGGTCTAGATAATATTTAGCCCTGCCTTGAGTGCAGGGAGCTGGACTAGAAGACGGCTCAAGGTCCCTTCCAGTCCTACAGTTCTGTGAAGCGTCCCACTGATGGCCACCTTGCCAGCTTTATACTAGCTTTAGGGGGCAATTCTCTCCTGGCCTGCTAAGGGGCTTTTCTGGTCTCTTTATGCTTCTGCAACAGCATACAGGGCTGGGCTGGGGAAAATAATCTCTTCTCTTAGATCCAGTCATTTCGTAAGTGTTTTCTGAGAAAAGCTGGATCTGTCATTGCCCAGTGATGGAATTTCTTGAGTTCACAATAAAATTATATGGCCTTGACAGCTATAATGCATCTTCACTAGCAAATAGCTAGCCTCATCTCTAGCATCTTTATTTTTTGGCTGAATTTGTGAACCAGTTAATTTTAAGCCTTAAAAGATTTGATGTAGTCCTTAGCTCACGTCCAAGCATGAGGAGTACTGGGGTACATCTTGTACTTGTGTTCACTGCTGGCATGTAGCACTTTTTTTACCATCTGTTATAACATTATTTTCTTGGTTTTTTACTAATCACATTTTTAATAGTCACTTTAGAAACTTGTATACAGCTGAGCATCAACCCCAAAAAGAGGAAAACTGAGGATGCTCAAAAGTGGCAGGACAAGAAATGCAGAAAGAAGATGCACTTGGGTTCTTAAAACAGCCATGTTACTTAGATATCTAAGAACATAAGCACATAAGAACAACCATACTGGGTCAAACCAAAGGCCCATCTAGCCCAGTATCCTGTCTTCCGACTGTTGGATGACACAACCCAGATGGACTGCACAACTCAAAACCCTGGCCCTGAACAGTCCCAAACGTAGTGGGGTTTGAAGTCTGGATGTGGATTTTGCAACATGGAGCTTCCTCTGATTTCACTGGAACAACACCCCATTCAGTTTCCCGACAACCACACTGACTCACTGCATTGATGCCTCACATTTCCTGCATTGCAGTTCTTGCAATGCCTGTGCTCTTCAAGCTTCCTCATTCTCTTTTCCTGTCTCTTCCCTCAAGGTTCTAACTCCCCACCAATCACCTCTAAACAATATAACATTTTTTCCTAGCATTGGATGCTGTATACTTGTGAGTGCTCATTCTAGGTGACCGTGTATATTAATGGATTTCCCCACTTGTAAGTAGTTAGAAATCTCTAGGTAGAATCTGAATTTGATTCCCAGGCACTTTACCTGAAAATGTAAAGCTAACTAGCAATTTAGGACTCCTGCTAAAACTGGGTAACTTTTTAAACTTTATCTGTGTCATGTGACAATGAATCACAGAAAGAGTCACTTTCTTCTCATACTGAATGAGGAACTGTATTAGAATAGGAAAAACAATATTATTCCTAAAGCTATTCCCCTTGCTTTGCTATGCATCTCCTGCCTGGAACCTTTCCTAGCTCCTTTTGATTGTCCACTCTTCTGGGGACAAGGGTCTGGGGACTGACATGGGATAAAGGAAGGACTGGGCTTTCCTACCCCTAGCTATGCCCACTTTGAGATAATGGGTACAAAGCCTCCTGGTAGAAGGGGAACAGGAAGCCCCAGTACCAAGGGGAAGACAACTACTTGAACCTGGCATGGTCAAACAGACCATTGGTTGCATTTTGACTTCTTTGTTTGGACTCTTGTTTTGTTGATTCCTGGAAGCGGAGGACTTCTGTTTAGCTGGAGGGTTGTGTCATCCTGACTCACCCTGCCAGATATGGTGGATCAATGTGGAGGAAACAGGCCTGGCAGCACTGGATGAAAGCCTAGGGAGAACCCTGGTGTTGCAGCACCTTTTTGTCCCTATATCTTTATTAATAACTAAAGCTTGATGTGCTAACCCTTATGCAATCCACTTCAGTGGGACGACTTCTGAGAGAGGTTTGTAGGCCCACAGGCTTTTAGTCTGGTCACAGTCTTTGCTTTAGGCCGGAGAAGAAAAAAGCTCATTCCTCCCTTCCCCCTGTCCTCACCAGTGATTCCAGTATTGGCAGTCGCTTTGTAAAGTCTTCCTAGACTGCATCCCCAAGCAGTCACTATGGCCCAATGCTGTGAGGTGCTGAGTGCTGTCAGTTTTCATTGATTTGCCTTGAAGGTTCAGGCCTTCAATAAAGAGTTCATCCCCAGTTCAACTGGAGGTAATTTCCATTTAATCCCATCACTCTTCATCTTCTCTGCCCTTCTCCTCCACCCCCAGTTTGGACATCATTATATAACAACCCAGGATCAGGGAAAACAAGCAGCTGCTGAAGAATTCTCAGCCCATTGCCTGGGCTGGGGTGCTGAAGAGCCATGTGTGCTGCACTCTTCCCTTGAGGGCTAAGATCATTACCTCTGTGATGCTCCCCGTCCTAGCTAATTCTTGGAACAAATGGCCCAAGGTAGCTAATCTGAACCAAGTCTCCCATTTGACAGCACGTTGCACTAGGTTATTAGGCTGGAGCCTGCTGCTTTACTTTCCAAGTTTTATTAATTTCAGTGTATATTGCTGTCGGCTGTGCTTCTCTATAGCTTGTGTTTTCTCGGCTACAGATGGAAAATAGGCTCATACAAGGAGCTGTCTTCAAATACAAACCTTCAGGGGCCAGAGTTTGAGAACATTAGTGTATGTTTGCGGTGTGCCACCAAGTGCACACACTAATTTAAGAGCATCTGCATTTCTGTTTACATGAGTTCTATTCAAGGACTTTCATAAGTGATGTGAGACAAAGTAGAGATGGCATAAAACCGTACTGCTGCTTAAACAGCGCCTCTGTGCTGATATTCCCCTTTTGAGAACAAGAGCATCTAGGCCATCAAATTTCCTTGCTGTGCCCTTGCATCCTCATGCTGACGCACAAGATGTTTTC